CGGCTCCGCCCCGCTCCCCGGCTCCGCCCCGCTCCCCGGCTCCGCCCACCGCTCAACCTCACACCTCCCATCTTAGGCGCATGCGCCCACTGCCTTCCCTCAGGGCTCGGCGCGTGACGTCACCACGCAAGGGGCGGGCGGCGAGCCAGAGGTATTACCATGGCGACCGCGGCCCCCTCAGCTGTGCCCGCTGTGAGGGCAGAGTCCTCTGCAACGGACCCCAAAGCTCGCGAACGGGTCGGCCACTGTGGCAGGACCTGGCGAGCTGGGCCAGGGAAAGGAGGCGGGGACGCCTGAGTCGGAGACCTTTCTCACTCCCAGGCACCTCCTGTTTCTCTGCCCCTTTGAGTCTACGGCACCCAGAAGTTTCTGGGCCTCTCTTTCCTAGGCCGTCAGTCTGATAGTTGCCCTGGAGACACAGACGCCGGAAGCTTGACGCATAAGGCGGGGCCAGGCTGGAAGGAGGATTCCGACTGGCAGAGATGCCACACCGCAGGCTTTGAACGACAGGTCGGGGGCGCACATGCGCGTTGAGTTGGCCGCGCGCATTCGCGGTCCGTGGTGTCCAGGGGTCCGCGAGCCTCGGTCGCCTGGGCAGTGTCGCAGGTCGCGCTGGTGGAGGGACGCCGAGTCTGCGCAGGCGGGGCTCTCCGGGCCTCGGTCACGAGTCCAGAAGTGCCGGCTCCAAAGAAGTGCCTCCGGAGGTGAGTGCGACCCCCGGTTACCCCCGGGTTTCCGAATGCAATGCCCAAGCTCCTAGTAACAGCCCCCACTCACCGACATGTGACGTCATAGCTCCCATCGAGGGGGAGAGGGCAAATTGGAAGGTGTCGTAGATTCTGGTCGCCCACTTGTACCCCCCCCCCCCCACCCCCTCTGCGACGGGGAGTTTGGGTTGGGACCCTTTCGTCCTCTGTAGGCGTCAGTTACCCCTTTTGTGAAATGATCTTTGGAGTTACTCTGCCCCTTACTAGCTCTGAGACCCCGGGCGAGGTGCACACGCTCTGTGCCTCGGTTTCCCCCAAATTGAGGGGGATGATAGAATTTGACTCTCTAATGGAACCTTAGGACAGTGCCCCGCACACCGTGACCTCTCAAGTGTTAGTGTCTGATTGTCATCGTCGTCATCTTTGGTTTGGGGATTTGGACAAATCCCTCGCCTACTCTGGAGTCTCGGTGTGTTGATTTGAGAAATGGACGTAGTTTGTTTTGTGAACGTTAATCTTGCTTCTCAGCACACAGCCAATGACTGTCTAACCGGAGGGATGCTACGGGGTTTGGTGGTAGGACCCTGTAATTCCAGAAATCTGCCCTTGTCACGTCCACTGCTGCACGACCCTGGTCAGTTCTCGTCCTTGAGGAGCTCTGAGTTTCCTCAAGTGGAAAATTATGGGGACGGACTTCTAATTCTCACTCTGGTCCAAGCACTGGCCCTAACTTTGCTTGGGCAAGCTGTCCTGTCCATCTTCGCGTCATCTGTAAAATAACCAGGGGGAGCTCAGTTGACTTGGAGGTCACTTTGAATTGCAGTCAGAAGATCTGGTGTCCCTCTCCTCACCCCACCTTACCCTCCCTTTGTATCCAGCATCTTATTCTTAGTCTCAGATATGCCTTCATTGCCTTTTTTTTTAATGTTTATTTTTTAATGTTTATTTATTTTTTTATAACTTTTATTTTTTTTAATATATGAAATTTATTGTCAAATTGGTTTCCATACAACACCCAGTGCTCATCCCAAAAGGTGCCCTCCTCAATACCCATCACCCCCCCTCCCCTCCCTCCCACCCCCCCATCAGCCCTCAGTTCGTTCTCAGTTTTTAAGAGTCTCCTGTGCTTTGCCTCTCTCCCACTCTAACCTCTTTTTTTTCCTTCCCCTCCCCCATGGGTTTCTGTTAAGTTTCTCAGGATCCACATAAGAGTGAAACCATATGGTATCTGTCTTTCTCTGTATGGCTTATTTCACTTAGCATCACACTCTCCAGTTCCATCCACGTTGCCACAAAGGGCCATATTTCATTCTTTCTCATTGCCACGTAGTACTCCATTGTGTATATAAACCACAATTTCTTTATCCATTCATCAGTTGATGGACGTTTAGGCTCTTTCCATAATTTGGCTATTGTTGAGAGTGCTGCTATAAACATTGGGGTACAAGTGCCCCTATGCATCAGCACTCCTGTATCCCTTGGGTAAATTCCTAGCAGTGCTATTACTGGGTCATAGGGTAGGTCTATTTTTAATTTTTTGAGGAACCTCCCCACTGTTTTCCAGAGTGGCTGCACCATAATGTTTATTTATTTTTGAGAGAGAGACAGAGACAGAGCGTGATTGGGGGAGGGGCAGAGAGAGGGAAACACAGAATCTGAAGCAGGCTCCAGGCTCTGAGCTGTCAGCACAGAGCCTGTCGTGGGGCTTGAACTCACGAACCATGAGATCACGACCTGAGCTGACGTCAGATGCTTAACCGACTGAGCCACCCAGGCGCCCCTAATGTTTATCTATTCTTGAGAAAGACACACAGAGTGTGAGTGGGTCCAGGACAGTGACAGAGGGAGACACAGAATCCAAAGCAGGCTCCAGGCTCCGAGCTGTCAGCACAGAGCCCGACACCAGGATCGAACCGACTGAACCAACCAGATGCTCCAGTTTTGTTTTTTTTTTTTTAATTGTCTAGCAAAATTGGGCTAAGTCATGTTTCCCTTGCCCTGTCTCTGAAATCAGGGTTTAACTAGGTCAGTGCCCCTTATGACCTCTGGAGGCCCAAATCCTGTGGTCAGGAAGTTATTTTTTCATTTCTCTTTCAGGCTTTCTCAGTGAAGAGGTAAGTTTATCTGTAGCAGCTTAACGCTTACCAATCCCTTTTATCAGGTTATATCTGTTCTCATTGTATTTACTGTTAGGACTATCTTTATGGCAGTGATACTGGGTTTCCATTTGGGGCAGTATATGAAGTTTCATCTTAAAAATGAACTTAGGGGGCACCTGGGTGGCTCAGTCGGTTGGGCGTCCGACTTCGGCTCAGGTCATGATCTCACGGTCCGTGGGTTTGAGCCCCAGGTCGGGCTCTGTGCTGACTGCTCAAAGCCTGGAGCCTGTTTCGGATTCTGTGTCTCCCTCTCTCTGTGACCCTCCCCCGTTCATGCTCTGTCTCTCTCTGTCTCAAAAATAAATAAACATTAAAAAAAAATTTTAAAAAAATGAACTTAGTACACAGGGACACCTAGGTGGCTCAGTGGGTTAAGCATCCAACTTTAGCTCAGGCCATGATCTTGTGGTTTGTGAGTTCACACTTGATCTTAGCCAAAAGGCCAAGAAGCGATTGTGGTTTGTGAGTTCAAGTCCCCTGTCTGGCTCTGTGCTGACAGCTCAGAGCCTGGAGCCTGCTTCGGATTTTGTGTCTCCCTCTCTCTCTTCCCCTCCCCCTCTCTCCTCTGTCTCTCTCAAAAAAAAAAAAAAAAAAAAGTTAAAAAGATTTTTAAAAAGATTAAAAAAAAAAACAGTACAGGGTGACTGGCTGGCTCAGTTGGTGGAGCGTGTGACTCTTGATCTTGGGGTTGTGAGTCTGAGCCCCATGTTGGGTGTAGAGAGCACTTAAAAATAAAATCTTCGGGGCACCTGGGTGGCTCAGTCGGTTAAGCGTCCGACTTCGGCTCAGGTCATGATCTTACGGTTCGTGAGTTTGAGCCCCGCGTCGGGCTCTGTGCTGACAGCTCAGAGCCTGGAGCCTGCTTCACATTCTGTGTCTCCCTCTCTCTCTGCCCCTTCCCTGCTCATGCTGTGTCTCTGTCTCAAAAATAAATAAACGTTAAAAAAAAATTTTTTTTTAAATAAAAATCGTCAAAAAACCACAACTTTGTACATTCATTGGTTCTCAGCTTGGTTTTACATCAGAGCCATTTAGGAGCTGTTAAAGAAGATAATATTGTGCGGGGCGTCTGGGTGGCTCAGTTGGTTAAGTGTCCAACTTCAGTTTAGGTCATGATCTCACAGTTCATGAGTTCGAGCCCTGCATCAGGCTCCATGCTGGCAGTGCAGGGCCTGTTTGTGATTCTGTCTCTCCCTCTCTCTGTCTCTCCTGCACACACACACTGTGTGTGTGTGTCTCTCTCTCTGTCTCGAAATAATAAATAAATTTTAAAAAATAATACTGTGCTCAGATCCACCTCTGGAGATGAGTTCAAATTGTGGTGGTTGTGACCCAGCGCATTGTGTTTTAAAACTCCTCAGAAGGGGCGCCTGGGTGGCGCAGTCGGTTAAGCGTCCGACTTCAGCCAGGTCACGATCTCGCGGTCCGTGAGTTCAAGCCCCGCGTCAGGCTCTGGGCTGATGGCTCAGAGCCTGGAGCCTGTTTCTGATTCTGTGTCTCCCTCTCTCTCTGCCCCTCCCCCATTCATGCTCTGTCTCTCTCTGTCCCAAAAAATAAATAAACGTTGAAAAAAAAAATTAAAAAAAAAAAAAAAAAACAACTCCTCAGAAGATTCTAGCGTATTAGGTTGGAGAAACACTGACCAGGTCATCTATAAAGGTCTGTTGTGCTCTAACTCTCATTAATGTTTTCATTCCTAAGTCCTAAAGAGGCCTTTGCCTACTTTGCCTTCCTTCATTCAGTAACTAACCCCTTCATCTAAATAATTGTGAAGGTGTTCCTTGCAAGGCTCCCCAAAAGGTGCCAGTTTGGCATGTGGACAATTTTGAGTTGAAGGCAGTCAAGACCCTGCAGGCTCAGGAGAAACTTACCCCTCCCTTAACTGCCTAGAAGAATCTAAGTTGGGGGGTCTTTCCAGAATAAGTGTTATTACCAGAGATAAATATTACCTGAGTGACCCATCTGTATGGCAGGGTAAACATCTACTGACCAAACATCTGTTCTTATTGCCCTGCTCCCCTTTGAAGCCCCAGCCCCTGATCCCACTCCTTAGCTCAGGATGGCATGCGTACCTCATCTTACCTTTCTGTCTTGAAACCTCTCTCTTTTATGTATGTGGGGATCCTGTGTGTTCAAAATTAAATTTGTTTTTCTCCTATTAATCTATCTCATGTCAGTTTAATTCTTAGACCAGCGAGAAAAACCTTTGAAGGATAAAGGAAATTTTGTCTTCCCCAGCATATTTTTTATAATAAAACTGTAACTGTAAGTATGGTGCTTTCCTGAGTTCTGGGAGTCCACTAGCCCCATACTAGTGGGACCCTCTGAATTTGTAGCCAACTTGTGCAGAAGCCAGGAGCCCTCATGTGGGGCCGTGTTGTGCCTTCAACCTATGATCCCCAACCCCAAATAATCTAATTCCCTCTAATGCTATTATGATTTATCCCCACCCCCCATTAGGTCTGATCTAGAATTAGGCTGGTGGTGTTCCAACTACAGCACTCCTGTGGAGTATTGGCTGGGGATGGTGTTGAAAGAGCCTGTTGTTCCCCCCCCCTCCCCCCCCCCCCCCCGCAAAAAGTGTTTTTTTATTTTTTGGGGGGCGTTTTTTTTTTTTTTTTTTTTTTTTTTTGAGAGAGGATGCAAGCAGGGGAGGGGCAGAGAGAGGGGACAGAGGATCTGAAGCAGGCTCTTCGTTGACAGCAGAGAGCCCTAAGTGTGGCTTGAAGTCACAGACCACCAGATCATTACCTGAGCCAAAGTCAGATGCTCAACCAACAGAGCTACCCATGTACCCCAACAATAGCTGGGCTGCTTAAAAAAAAACAAACTGACCAGTGATCTGGACCATGCTCCTGCTTTATTAATGCTGATGTGAGCTGCCATTTGGAGTGCTTCTCATAGACCAAACAAAATACTGAGACCTGGACCTCACTTCCTGGACCTCCCAGGCGGAACCTCCCCTGTAGGTTCTTTGGCTGGTCTAATAATTAAATTGATATAAGACAGATTAACAGGAGGAAAACAAAAGTTTAATAACATACACACCTCCTGTGCACACGGGAGAGACCCAGGGAAACAGTAACTGCGAAATGGTAGAAGCCATTGCCTTCAATAGCATCTTGAACTGAAGACAAAAGATTTTCCTGGCCGTTAGTTACGGGAGGGCACCAGGGAAAGCACAGTAAGCAAGAGTGGGTTGTAGTGCAGACTGAAGTCCAGCCTTTCCCATTGGTCCAGGGTTTCCTAGAGATTGAAAAGGGGTAGCCTCGGGGCGCCTGGGTGGCGCAGTCGGTTAAGCGTCCGACTTCAGCCAGGTCACGATCTCGCGGTCCGGGAGTTCGAGCCCCGCGTCGGGCTCTGGGCTGATGGCTCAGAGCCTGGAGCCTGCTTCCGATTCTGTGTCTCCCTCTCTCTCTGCCCCTCCCCCGCTCATGCTCTGTCTCTCTCTGTCTCAAAAATAAATAAAGGTTAAAAAAAATTAAAAAAAAAAAAAAGGGTAGCCTCTACTCTGTTTTTAGAGCTTGTCTTGTGTCTGCCTATTCAAGGAGGCACATCTTGAAGTGGCGTCCTTTACCCCCTTCTGTGCTCTTTCCCCTCCTGCAGCTTGATCTGATGCATCCTGTTGTGAGTCCACACAGTGCTTGCCGACCTGCGTCAGGATCTTGGCTCTGTAGCTACCTGGCTACGGAGGTGATGGCGAGCAGTCCTCCTGTTCAGGACGGTGGGTTATGTCACCTCCCGGGATTATCACAGAGTAAACAGGCTAATAACTACAGCTCTGAAAAACAGTGCCCGCCACACGAGTCCAATAACCGTTGGTGGTGGTTTCACTTGTTTTTCTTCTGATAGTAAATGTGAAGTGGCTGGCGCCTAATTGCTTACCAAGATGACGCATAGTATCTGTTTAATACAATTCATATTGCTAATAGTAGCTGCCATGTACTGAATATTCACTATGTGCCAAAGTGGGTAAAGCACTTACGTTACCGCACCTTCGCTGTAGTCCCACGAATGTAGTCTGCTCTCGACAATCCCCGTTTCATCAACAAGAAAATCCAGCCCAGAGCGGGCTGTCCCACTTGGGCAGGGCCACGAAACAAGTGTATAGCCTGCTCGTCCGCTGAATGTCAGAACCTCCCGTTAGCCTTGCTGTTTTCTACCTCTGATGTTACAGTGATTACATAGCGATATACATGTGTGATTTATAATAAGAAATAATTTATTTGGTCTTCATCCCCATTTCTGGTACAGATCTCCTAAAACCTTGGAATTTCCTTGGAATTGAGTGATGAAGGTGCCTTGAACATGTTCATGAGGTGACTTTCTTTTTTTTTTTTTTAATTTTTTTTTTCAACGTTTATTTATTTTTGGGACAGAGAGAGACAGAGCATGAACGGGGGAGGGGCAGAGAGAGAGGGAGACACAGAATCGGAAACAGGCTCCAGGCTCTGAGCCATCAGCCCAGAGCCCGACGCGGGGCTCGAACTCACGGACCGCGAGATCGTGACCTGGCTGAAGTCGGGCGCTTAACCGACTGCGCCACCCAGGCGCCCCCATGAGGTGACTTTCTGAAAGCACGTAGGGGTGGGACTGGTTGCCAAGAGAACTGACCAAGTCCTGGAGGGTTGGTACTTCCAGCCCCCACCCGCCTGATCTCTGGGCGGGGAGAGGAGTTGGTGGTTGGATCAGACACCAATGGCCAGTGACTTAATTGATCGTGCCTATATAATGGAGCCGCCCTAAAACCCCAAAAGCATGGGTTCTGGAAGCTTTCAGGTTGGTGAACATGTGGAGATGTTGGAGAGACCCAGACACCCTTTCTCTGTACCTGGTCCCGAGCATCCCTTACATCTGGCTGTTCTCGAGTTCTGTGCTTTTATCATAAATCACTAATCTAGTGAGTAAAATGTTTCTCTGGATTCTGTGAACTGCTCTAGCAAATTAATTGAACCTGAGGAGGGCGTCGTGGGGACCTCTGATTGACAGCCAGAAGCACAGGAGACAACCTGGATTGATGTATGAAGGTTGTGGGGCCAGTCTTGTAGGAGTGAGCCCTTCACTGTGGGATGTCATGCTGTTTCTGGTAAGGTGTTAGAATTGAGTTGAATTGGGGGCGCCTGGGCGGCTCAATCGGTTGGGCGTCTGACTTCGGCTCAGGTCATGATCTCGTGGTCTGAGTTTGAGCCCCGCATCGTGCTCTCTGCTGACAGCTCAGAGCCTGGAGCCTGCTTCAAATTCTACGTCTCCCTCTCTCTCTCGGCCCCTCCCTTGCTCACGCGTTGTGTCTCTCTCCCTCTCTCTCAAAAATAAACAAACATTAAAAGGAATTTTTTAAAAAAGAGTTGAGGGGCGCCTGGGTGGCTCAGTCGGTTGAGTGACCGACTTCGGCTCAGGTCATGATCTCGTGGTCCGTGAGTTCGAGCCCCGCGTCGGGCTCTGTGCTGACAGCTCAGAGCCTGGAGCCTGTTTCTGGAGCCTGGAGATTCTGTGTCTCCCTCTCTCTGCCCCTCCCCCGTTCATGCTCTGTCTCTCTCTGTCTCAAAAATAAATTAACGTTAAAAAAAAAAAAAAAAAAAGTTGAAATTGTAGGACCCCCAGCTGGTGTCAGAGAACTGCTTGTGGTGGCAAGTGGGGAAAAAAACCAAAAGGCATTACAATCGGTGTTGATTGGAACATGTAACCCCATTCTAGATTCCTGGGGCCCCATTCCCCCAAGAAAGATCCCTTCTTTCTTTTGACTCTAACAAGACCTTGACAGAATAACCAAGGGTCTGCACAGCACCCTTATAACATTTCCTTTACCTCATGCAGTTTGGAATATGTGGGGGGCTCCATCCCAAACACTGGGCTTCATTTGGCCCCAGGTGGTGCTGCTCCAATTTTTTATTTTTATTTATTCATTTTTTTTTAATTTTTAAAAAAAAATTTTTAATGTTTATTTGTTTTTGAGACAGGGAGAGACAGAGCATGAACGGGGGAGGGTCAGAGAGAGAGGGAGACACAGAATCGGAAGCAGGCTCCAGGCTCTGAGCCATCAGCCCAGAGCTGATGTGGGGCTCGAACTCACGGACCGCGAGATCATGACCTGAGCCGAAGTCGGACGTTTAACCGACTGAGCCACCCAGGCGCCCCCCAATTTTTTAAAGAAATGGTATTTGTGTGACTGGATGGAGGTGTTAGCTAACAGTGGTGTTAACCATTTTGCAGTATAATTGTATCCAGTCAACACACTGTGCACCTTAAACTTACACAGTATCATGTGCCAGTGATAATCAAGCTGGAAAGAAGAAAGAGTTCCTCAGGTGCTCAGTCCAGATTGGGAACCACAGGGGTAGAGATTCTTCTACCCCAAGATGAATTTCATCGTTCGTTCCTGCACCTCAGAGTCCTTTGGGGTGAGGTGGTGTGGGCAGAGGTTGGGCAGACAAACAAATGGGCAGCCGTGAGTGTGAAAAGCTCTGAGATGAGGAAAAGTATAGGATCCTGAGGGACCACAAGCTAATAAATGCTTCCTCCACCCAAGCTGGGAGAGGGGAGGCAGAGTGGGGGTTACCCCAGGGAGGATTTCTGGGAGGAAGTGCAGTGCAATCTAAAGGAAGGGAGAGGTCACATGAAAGTGGGCATAAAGGGGATACATCACTCTGCCCGTGTTCCATTAACACTGGCTGTGAGGGAGGATAAGAAGGGTAGCCTTGACTCAGGGTGGCTATGGACCGGCTCAATGTCAGGGTTCCTTCACTGTTGGGAGCAACCAGCAGAACTGACGGTCAGATGCATCTGCTAATAATAACCAAGCAACTGTGGTAATAATATAGCAACTAAGTGCCATTTGCCAAGCACACACTGTGCAGCAGAAGTTAGGCTGAACGCTTGACACCCAGTATGGCCTTGAACCCTTCTGGCCACCCAGAGAGATGCTTTGTCCAGTCTTATAAATGGGGCCTCTCTCTGAGCCTCAGTTCCCCCCGCCCCTGCCACCATATAGGAGGCACAGTTCCCTATGTACACTTGTGAGGATTTAAGGAAGTCACATCTGATGCTCCCAGCACACAGTAGGAGCTCAGCAGATGGTAGTTGCTTTTCCTAAAGCTATCGAGTGCCATCTAGTGGTTGAGCAGCACACAGCCATGGTGCCACCTGGTGGCCACATCCCGCAATTGCTCAGCCGGGCTGAGGGGTATTGCTTGCACGCAGGCGTTCTCAAACTCTCGGCTCCCCGTGCGGGGCAGGCAAATGCTGCAAGTGAGGGGTGCTGGCAGGGTGTGCGACATAGAGAGCGATGGGGATAGTTGTGGACGGAATCCATCCCACATCTCCAGCAGAGTGCTGCTATGTGGGGATGCAGACTTACCTAGAATTCCCCTAAACTGTGATTTTTTTTCACCCCAAGGAACGCCAATTCATGTGGAAAGCGTCTCTATTTTTAGAGATGGGCACTAATAGAAATTGTTTTGCAAACACTGTGTTGGCCAGACACATCCGGAGTCTGACTATAGCCCATGACCCATCATTTTTGTGACATCTAGTTATATGGTCATGTATGACTTTTAGAATAAATCTTAACCTCACCCCCATTTTTGGTGATTGTGGTGGTTAATTTTATGTGTCAACTTGACTGGATCATGGCCTGCTCAGATACTTGGTTAAAGATGATTTCTGAGGGGCGCCTGACTGGCTCAGCACTGGAGTATGTGACTCTTGGTCTCGGGGTTGTGACTTCAAGCCCCACGTTGGGTGGAGATTACTTAAAAATAAACTCTGGAAAAAAAAAAAGGTGATTTCTGTGAGTCTGTGAGGGTGTTTGCGGAAGATGTTAGCATTTGAATCAGTAGACTGAGTAAAGCCAAAGACCCTGCCTTCGTGGTTGCCATTACCCAATCCACTGTGGGCCTGAATAAAACAAAAAAGGCTGAGGAAGGGGCAAATTCTGTCTCAGGCTGACCCCTTGGTGTGGAATTTACAACACTGGCTTTCATGGGTCTCCAGCGAGCAGATGGCAAGCTGTGGGTCTTCTCAGACCCCATAAACACATGAGCCGATTGGTCCTAAGAAGCACTGTGTGTTGTATGTAAGCAATGAATCACGGGAATCTACTCCCAAAACCAAGAGCACACTGTATGTTAGCCAATTTGACAATAAATTATATTTTAAAAAAAGAAAAAAAAAGAAATCTCTTTATATATATCCTATTGGTCTGTTTCTCCAGAGAATCTTAAGTTGTAGTGGTTTTTTATTAATTGCCTATTATGTGCCCCATGCTTTACCTGCATTATTGTCGTATAATTTTCCCTGCAACTTAAAGGATAGTGATTATTAGCTCAACTTTAAAATCATCAATTTATAATAGGAACCTTTATTTAGCTCTGAGCACATGTTAGAGATTTTGCTAAGTGCAATATGTTGATGACTTCATTGAGTTTCTATACCAAGTCCTTAAGGTGGATTCTGTTGTTATCCACATTTTGCAAAGGAGGAGACAGGCACAGAGAGGTTGAATGCCCCCCTCCTTATTTTTATAGGTGGTGTTTTGACTTTTTTTTAAATTTTATTTTATGTTTGAACATGTAAAATGTCCACATGGTTCAAAAGTCACAATTTTTTAATTTTTTTAAGTAATCCTTCCACCCAACGTGGGGCTCTAACTCACAACCCCGAGATCTAGGGTCACGTGCTCTACTGAGTCAGCCAAGCACCCCAGTTGACACTCATTTATACCTTCCTAATTTTACTTAAGAATTCATTCTGGAAATATTCTTTAACAGGTGCCAAGTTTATCCAATCCTTTCTGTGTGTGTGTGTGTGTGTGTGTGTGTGTGTGTGTGTGTGTGTGTGTATGTGTGTGTCTATATCCTGGTCAACAGTGATTACAGACTTGTAGTTTTTGGCATTGTCATGAGGAGTACTCCATGGTGGTTTAAATTTATTTTTGATTTCTAATCAAACTTAGCAGCTTTTTACTAATCATTGATGATTCAGGTTTTGCTTCTGTAAATTGCCTGTCTGTATTTCATTTTTTCGGTTTTCATTTTCATTTCTTTTTTTTTTCAAATAAGTCATTTGTTTTTTTATTGATTTTTGGGGGTATTTTGTATAATCAGGTTACAATTTCTCTGCAACAAACAGGCTATGTATGATGGGGTCATCCATCCATCCAATCCATCCAACCCACCCATCCCAAGTTAACATATACTCTAATAATGATTTTGGGAATAGAATTTAGTGATTCATCACTTACATATGACGCCCAGTGCTCATCCCAACAAGTGCACTCCTTAATGCCCCTCACCCTTTTAGCCCTTCCCTGCACCCAATACCCTGCCAGCAACCCTCACTTTGCTCTCTTTAAGAGTCTCTTATAGTTTGTCTCCCTCTCTGTTTTTATATTATATTTGCTTCCCTTCCCTTGTGTTCATCTGTTTTGTATCTTAACGTCCTCATATGAGTGAAGTCATATGATTTTTGTCTTTCTCTGACTAATTTCGCTTAGCATAATACCCTCTAGTTCCAACCATGTAGTTGAAAATGGCAGGATTTCATTCTTTTTGATCGCCGAGCAGTATTCCATTATATGTATACATATATACACACATATATACATACATACCACAGCTTCTTTATCTACTCATTAGTCAATGGATATTTGGGCTCTTTCTATACTTTGGCTATTGTCAATAGTGCTGCTATAAACAGTAGGGTGCATGTGCCCCTTCGAATCAGCACTCTTGTATCCCTTGGGTAAATACCTAGTAGTGCAATTGCTGGGTCATAGGGTAGTTCTAGTATTAATTTTTTGAGGAACCTTCATTCCAGAGTGGCTGTACCAGCTTGCATTCCCACCAGCAATGCAAAAGAGATCCTCTTTGTCCGCATCCTCGCCAACATCTGTTTTGCCTGAGTTGTTAATGTTAGCCATTCTGACAGGTGTGAG